AGAAGGAGCCGCCGTAGCCGCCGTAGCCACCAAGGCTGCCGCCGTAGCCACCTGCGAGGGGGACAGCGCTGAGCGTCGTCCTCTGCGTCCCTCCCCGAGCCCAGGTGTCCCCACCAGCCTTACCCGAGTAGCTCTTGGTCTGGATGCTGAGGGTCTGCATGCCGGTCTCCAACCTGCGGGGACGAGGTGGCCACGGGGACATTAGTTGACATGACCAGGGTAGGGGGACATCCCCCTCTCATCTCCTGCGCTCAGCGCCCCATGGCCCTCTGCAATTTTATGGGACACCCCATGGAGCACCCGTGGGTCCCACCTGCTCTCCTCTCCCTCCAGCAGCTTCCTGTAGGTCGCGATCTCGATGTCCAGGGCCAGCTTGACGTTCATGAGCTCCTGGTACTCGCGGAGCTGCCGGGCCATGTCTGCCTTGGCCTTCTGCAGGGCATCTTCCAACTCGGCCATCTTTGCCTTGGCGTCCTTGAGGGCGAGCTCGCCGCGCTCCTCGGAGTCTCCGATGGCCGTCTGCAGGGTGGCACACTGCAAGGGAGGGAAATGGGGCACCTCCTAATTGCTGCTTTTCTTTGTGGGCAAGAGTCACCCCAGGAATAAAACCATTCTGGCCCTGTTATTAACGAACAGTGGTTGTTAATGAGATCATTGATCCATAGCCTGGAAACAGTGATGTGATACATACAGGCTGAGGATAGAGAGTAGTAACCCTTTCTGGAGGGAATTCAGTACTCTGCAATGAAGCATGTCATGGTCCAGAGCTGTTGAAGCCCATGAACGACAAGACAGTAGCAGAGCTGTGGTACTAAGGGACCATGGCATTTGGCTCTACAGGCTCTTTTTGCCAGTCCTACCTGGTTCCTCGCGTTCTCTATCTCTGACCGAATTCTCTGGATCAGCCGGTTGAGCTCGGAGATTTCCCCCTTTGTGTTGCGCAAGTCGTCTCCGTGCTTCCCAGCAGTGGCCTGCAGCTCTTCAAACTGTAATTCAGAAAGAAGTGTAAACTTCTTGCAGAAAGATGCAAAAATGCATCCATTCAATCTATGGGTCTGCTCACCTTGGTTTGGTACCAAGCCTCAGCCTCTGCCCGGCTCCTGTTAGCAATGTCTTCATACTGAGCTTTGACTTCAGCTATGATGCTGCTGAGGTCCAGGTCCCGGTTGTTGTCCATTGACAGAATGACAGCAGTGTCGGACACCTGCGCACTGAGCTGAGCCAGCTCCTGAAAGGAACAACACAGTCATGGTCCTGCATGTACCTTTATAGATGCCACCAACGACGGCAAGCTCTGTGCAGGGGTTGACTGTAGGACCGGGGGAGAAGATCTGTACCGCGTCGTAGAGAGCTCGTAGGCCAGCCTGGGCGCGGGGAGCCGCGGGCCCCGGGGCAGGGAGCGCTGGGCACGGCCGGGTTCAAGGGTGACGGGACGGAGCCGGCGCTCCACAAGGAGCCGGGAGCGTCCCCTTGGGAATGCCACCAGGAGCGTCCCCGGGACCTCCTTCCCCTCCTCACCTTGATCTGGTACATGCTCTCGGCCTCGGCGCGGCTGCGGTTGGCGATGTCCTCGTACTGCGCCTTCACCTCGGCGATGATGCCGTCCAGGTCCAGGCTGCGGCTGTTGTCCATGGAGAGCACGACGGAGGTGTCGGAGATCTTGGCCTGCAGCTCGCTCAGCTCCTGCGGGGCGGCCGGCTGAGCACGGGGCCGCTCGCCACGCGGGTGGCTCCTGCCATCCCACCCCGTCATTCCCGTACCTCCTGGTAAAGCTGCCGCAGGAAGTTTATCTCGTCCGTGAGACTCTCCAGCCTGGACTCCAGCTCCACCTTGTTCATATAGGCTTCATCCACGTCCTGGGGGACACGCGGAGCCCGTGAGCCTGTGGCCACCCGTGTCCCCAAGCCCTCCCCTGGCATCCCCTTGAGTCGCATCCACCTTCTTGAGCAGCACAAACTCGTTCTCCTTCTCCGTGCGGTGGTTGATCTCCTCCTCGTACCTGCAGGGAGAAGCAGCGCTGGGGCCACCTTGGTGGCACCGTCCCCACGCGCCGTCCCCTCGCAAAGCGGGTGGCCACGGGGACCCTGGGGGCGCGTGGGGCCGCTCACTTGCTCCTGAACTCCTCCACCAAGCCCTGCATGTTGCCCAGCTCGGCCTCCAGGCGCAGCTTGTCCTCGGTTGGGGTTATGGCCAGGGATGTGTCCAGACCAGAGTGTCACCTCCCTGGTGCCCTCTTGTGCCGCGAGCACAAAAAGCTGGGCCCAAATAAACAGAATTTTCTGCATGCATTGAAGCATATTTTCATTTATTTGAGAATAAAGCTTACAAGTTAATAAGATTCAGGTCTTTCATCCATCCGTCCATCCATCCATCCATCTATCCATCCATCCATCCCTCCATCCATCCACCCATCCATCCATCCATCCACCCATCCATGTATCCATCCATCCCTCCACCCTTCCGTCCATCCATCCATCCATCCATCCATCCATCCATCCACCCGTCCATCCATCCGTCCATCCATGCCTCCATCCATCCGTTCATCCGTTCCTCCCTCCTTCCAACACTTCTCCAGGGTTTGCACCAGGAACCTGCTGCCTCCCAAGGAGGAAAAGCCCAGGTTTGGTGTGGGGGGGGGCAGGTGCTGCTAATTGATGCCCTTTTTAATTAATTCCTCTGAGGAGGGGGAGGAGGGGTAGAGGTGGGTCCTGGATGTCCCCTGCAGGAGATGGGGGGCCCCAATGTCCCCCGTCCCTTCTCGTCTGCCACCAGCTCCCTGCCTGTGGGCTCTGCTGCCACCACCCCCATGGATGGCACTGGGGGGAGGGAAAAGGGGGGGGATGTCCCCAAGGCCACCTGGGTGTCACCAAAGGGGGCAGGACACCCCCATGGGAGCCGAAATGTGCCCCAAGGGGCCAGAGTGTCCCCAAGACAGGGCTCAATGTCCCTGAGGGGGCCAAGATGATCCTTATGGCACCAGGATGTGTCCAAAGGGGTCAGGAGGGGCCCTCAGGGCATTAGGAGGTCTTTGATGGGACGGAGATGTGCCCAAAGGGACCACAATGTCCCCAAGGGAGTCAGGAGGGCTCCAAGGGAGTCCCAAAGGTTTCACGATGCCTCTGATGGGGCAGAAGGTCCCCAAGGGGGTCAGGATACCTCAAATGGGGCCAAGAGCTCCCTGATGGGACCAGGACATCTCCAAAGGGGCCAGGCTGTCCAGGGGGGCATTAGACTGTCCCCAATGAGGCAGGAGGTCCCTGAGGGCCTCAGATGTCCCCAAGGGGGGCCAGGATGTCCCCAAGCACCCGTCCACCCATGAGTCCCTCCCCATTCCCCTTATCCATGGGGCTTTGCCCGCCTCCCAGCCCACGGCAGCCGCAGAATCGGGCCAGAAAGAAGGACCAAGCTTGGCAAAACCCCTCCAGGAGCTGCGCAAGGACCAGGGGTGTCCCCGGGGCTGGTGGCACGGAGGAGGAGGTGGCCCCATGCCAGCTCTCCGCCCCCAGCCTCACCTTGTCGATGAAGGAGGCAAATTTGTTGTTGAGGGTCTTGATCTGCTCCTTCTCCTCCTTCCGCACCCGCTGGATGTTGGGGTCGATCTCCAGGTTGAGGGGGGTCAACAGGCTCTGGTTGACGCTCACGGACGCGATGGAGCCCCCAGCTCCAGCCCCCACGGCCGGAGCGCGGAACAGACCCGCGCCGCCGCTTCCATAGGCCCCGAAGGCCGTGGCCGCGCTCATCCTCACGCCGGGGCTGGTGGTGTAAGAGTGGGAGCTGAAGGAGCGCCCGGGCACAGCCGAGCTGCTCCTCATGGTCTTCCTGGTGACCGTGATGGACATGGTGGAGGCTGGAGGCGGGATGGACGGACGGGAGCCTTGGAAAACGGACGGGAAGGCGGCGAGAGGAGCAAGGAGGTTGCGAAAGGCGTCGGAGGGCTGCAGGACAGGCACGGATGGACGGACAGACCGGACAGGCCGGAAGAGCAGGCAGGAGCCCTGCAGATCTAGGGCGGGGAGTGAGCTCCATATTTATATCC